AAGTTTGCCACAGAGACAGACTAAAGATTCCATCTCATCAGTCCTCGCAGGACTGAGGCAGGAAAATGGCCCTTGCTGCCCACACTGGCTGGAACAGTGACTGACTGGGCACCATCCTGAGGCATCCCAACCTCACTTGGCACTAAACCACAAGAATACATCTATTAATAGTGAAGCCTGCCCAGAAATTGAGCATTCTCCTTTCCATTGAGATCAACACATTCAAAAGCTGCTAGGGGCAGTTCTCTATAACTGTTACATGAAAATGCTGGGATCATGAGCTAGGGTGTGTATCTGTTTTTAATACAGAATTTGGAAAGCTTGATTTTTTCAAAGTTAGAACTCATTAATAGTTCTCTACTAAAAGCTTTAGCAAAAATAACAACTTATCCAATTTCTAGTGAAGTTATAAAGTACACCAATGATTTGAAATTGTATTTCTCAATGTAAGTTCATGTAAATTCAAGGTAATTTTCAAATATATCAACAAAGTATGCAATTCATTCAGAATAAGTCACCTATCTTAAGCTTTAAGATGGGTCTTGAAAATTAGTTTAACAGTTCATTTTACAAATTTAAAACTTATAAATGTGAGGATAATAAACTGGTAGACAACACTATAAAGCATGCACTAATATAAATTTAGATCACTTTTCTCTTTCCTCACTGGAGTACAGTGAGAGAAGTTTCCTTGGAAGATTTCTTCTCCTCTTCTTTCATTAATTGCTCCTGACTCTCTTCGTCTCATAATCAAACTGGTCAGCTTTTGGCAAACTGGAACTTAATCTTTGCTACACAGTCTGTCTGTATCCATGGCTCCCTTAAAAAATAATCATCAAACTTGCTGCTCCTCACTCAGGTTCCAGGAGAGAAAAGAGAAAGGCTTTACAGAACTTAATAGCCATGGTATGATTTTAGCTGCTGCATGGCAGTGCTGTATTATAGGCTTTATACATCTGTTATATTTACCAATGATGCCAAATTCCTCTGACAATTATGCCAATTTTATCAAATTACAATAGCAGTACAGATAATCAGTGATATCTAAAAGTCTTTATGAACATAAATAAATGGCAATTAGTTCATATTTTAAAAGTAATTTCAATTTATATTGGCAAAATATTATATGTTTGCAACTCCAATCTTTATGCTGTGAAAAGACATGTATTATGAATACAAAATACAAAATAAAGATATATAATTACATAATTTAGTGTATAAGACATAATAAAATATTATAAAGATATATCTTATAAAAATACACATTCCATATAATATATTGTGTATTTTTATATCATATAAAGATATATAATATTTATTAAAGCCTTATTACTTACCAGGCACCACTTTAAGAGATGGATATTATTATTATTATCCCCAATTTACACATAAGAAAATTGAGTCCCACTGAGGCTAAGTTACTAGCCCACGGTCATACAGGTACTAAGTAGAAGAACAAGATTTGAATCCAAGAAGTCTGACTTCAGATGTAATATCCAAGCTCATTGCTGGATCACAGTATAACCAAACACTACTTCAGATATATTCAAAGAGATGAAATAATCAATATGGAAAAATTAAAAAGTAGGCCTCTTTCTCTATTGGTAAGGAATATTTATTCTATAGAAAGTCACAGATGCAGATTTTTGCAATTTTATTTTTGCCCATGATGTATTTATGGCTGGCCTAATAACAGGAAATTATAGTAATTTAAAAAATATACATTTTAGCTACTCAACATTGTACAATTATAATAGCAAAAACAATATAGTAGATGGTTTTAAAGCTTAATTTTAAAATGTGATCTTTAGCTTTAAAATTAATTCATTCAAAATGTTTAAATGTTTACCGTATAATGTATATGCCTGTGGGACTTTCATATAAATTTTATGATATCATCTTAACAAAATTGCTGTGAAATAGTAGTGTAAGAACTGGTAATCCCATTTCATAAGCAAAGGAGATTTAAAAAAGGAAAAGAAATAGTCTTCTGCTCTCATCTTATAAAGCCAGAAAGTGGCCAGATACTAGTGCTCCAAATATGCTATATTACTTATTTTTCTTCACTACTCCTTAATGTTTAACTTCCTGAAATATAAAAACCAGATCATATAATTTTTATTTTACATCTGCTTCACTGTTGGCATATGGTTTAATAAATTGCCCACCCAAACCACTGTGAGGCATTGATGATAATTCTAAGTTAAGTTAGAAAGTAGAGTAAAATTTTAAATTATTTGAAATTGGAATTTCAAACCTTCTCTTTTGGGTTCATTTTATCAAACAAAAGAAGACAAAAACACCTTAGCTTCATTGCTGAAAATATAACCAAGGAAAGACTTAATGGTATAAAATCCCATTTAAGCAGAACAATTTTCTTACGTATGATTTCTGTGGAATCTGCCATTTCAAGGTTCTGGAACATCCAATTCTTTCTTGATGGTGTTTTTGCAGACTGGCTTCCTGTCACCAACATCTCTCGGCCACCAGCCAACCTCACCAGCACAGCCCCTGAGAATTTGATTGAGTCACAGGTTTTTTTTTCACACCTAAACAAATGAGAATAAAGGAAACTCAAAAAAAGGCCTTACTCTCTAAACTTGTGATCAGTTTAAGAAGTTGCAGGGAGGAGATTTTAGTGCTTTTGAATTCCTATCACACAACTCCTTACACTACCATCATGCCTGGGATTCATTAAGACATACTCGAAGAGAAAGGAAGAAATGTGCAAAGTGTTCTCTGACTCTGTAGATTCTCTCTTGGTATCCTACAAAGCCACCTATACCATAGTTCGCACCTTTTCCACTTCCTCTTGAAGGTGACTACGGGATCCCTGTTCTTGTGTGACAGAACACCCCATGTGTTATCTAAATGTGACCTAGGATGTATCATTACATCAGCACAGCAGTGAATTCTGTCTTTCCTTGGCTACAGCACTTTTCCATTGTCATGTTTGCACAATACACTCACAAGTCGATGCATATTCTGGCATAAATCCCAAAGCTTTTTCTTCCCCCTAAACAGTAACACCCTATCTTAATTTCTAATTACCCAATATTCACAGTCAGCAGTGGTTGCTCTGTGGACACAAGAGGAGGTGAGGAAGTTGGCTGTGACTTTTGTGTATTTCCCAGGGCAGTGGGGGAGTGCCAAGTCCTTTGTTTGAAAGTGGACTGGGATGGTGCAAGTGAGTAAGACTTAGCATATTGCAGGGACAACCTTGAATCCACTTCATTTTAGAAAAGAAGTAATGCACAAATTTATCGGTAACAAATAACTTGTGATATGCCAAGATGTAGTGATCCCTTGTGTGAGTGTCACTAATCTAGGGTCTGTCACACTGAAGTGCACACATCTGAGCTTCAGCTCCCTATAGTCTTACTGGCTGTCGACAACCAGAGCTTGAGCAGCTCCACACGTTCCTGAGAATTTCTCCAGGGGCAAGGGACCCTTACTGACAGGAGTATGTCAGATATGTCTGATACTGGTGTTTTAAACAACTTGGAGGACCACTGTCTGATACGTTTCTGTGTAGGCTGGTTGCTAAGGTGCCTAAATCAAGGAAATGATACTCCATTGTGCAACAGTTACACTCACTGTGTAAGTGTGCATAGTACCCTCTTGCCAGACCTAAAAAGTCAGGTTTCAGAGAAGCAAACTCTGGTAATATAGCAAAAACTACCAAAACTATTTAAAGGTGGAAGGAGGGGTGCATGGATGGAATATATCCAAAATTACTAATTTCACTTCTCATTGAAAACTTAGAAATCTCATGTGTTTAAAGTGACAAGTGAGTTGGTGACCTTTGTTACCATTTATCATAATGACAAAATTTGCAATAAGTAGCCAGCAGAAGCAAGTTTTCTCGTAGATATTGTTTTTCATATTTAAATAGCTATCACCAGGGAGACAATAGTGGGTGGTTATAAAGTGTTCTACTTCTAATAATCAAATTATCATTAGTTATGGTTAGGGGAAAGAGGTGGATGATCATCCTATGATTTTCTCTAATAAAATAGTTATTATATCATCCATGATTTTCTCTAATAACATAGTTAATATACATATACAGTCGTTAAAAGATCTATATGGTGCAGTAGAAAAGGTATGGCTTTTGGCATTAGGCAAACGTACTTAGAAAGCCACTTCAGGGACACCTGGGTGGCTCCATCGGTTAAGCGTCTGTCTTCAGCTCAGGGCATGATCCCGGGGTCCTGAGATCGAGCCCCTCACCTGACTCCCTTCTCAGCGGAAAGTCTTTTTCTCCCTCTCCCTCTGCCACTCCCCCGCTTGTGTTCTCTCTCTCTGTTAAATAAATAAATAAAATCTTTAAAAAAATTAAAAAAAAAGAAAGCCACTTCACCTACTATTTAAGCTGTGGTCTTAACCTAGTCAGTTCATCACTATAAGCTTCAGATTCCATATTTATGAAGAGAATAATAATAGTTAGAATTCACACATTGACCATGGAGACTTTTTATAAATATCTTCCTTTACTTCCTCCTCCTGTGCTTTTAATATATATATGCATAAAAATTTAATACCATATTACTCATGACATAAATTCCTGTGACATCCATTCCCAAATACCGATTAGTTTCTTAGAATCATTGCTAAATTCACCCTCTGTATTTTTTTCTTAGTTAGAAGCCATCAAGCATATGTTTTAGTAAGTAGACTTGCACTATATGGCATGAAATTACAAAGGTTCTAGTGTTTGTTTGTTTAAGGCAGTGGCGGGAGAAGGGATCCAGGAACAGCTCTTGTTCTTTAGAAAGGCAGTCACTGTTACTGGGGAATGGAGGTTTGATTGGGCCAAAGCTTGTCACTTTAGCCTTTTTTCTTTTGGACTCCCATCTCCAGTGTCTAGAAGATGTTTTTCTTTGCTCTTATTTCAACTTACCCATCAAGGACTCATGGCAAATCCCCAAAGTACATGGCTTCCTGCCCCTAAATGGGCATCCACACTGTCCCTTCAGCCTTGATCTTTCCTCTTGCAGGTAAAAACAGAAAAGGTGGAGAGAAAAACATGGTGGATCCTTTTCTCCCCGTCTGTGCCAGCCTGCCTCCAACCTGGTGATCGTTGACACTCACCATTTGTGTGAAAGCCTTTTTTCTCTTTTTAACATATTATACTAGATTTTACTAATTAACTCAATATTATAGCTCCTGCAGTTTTCCCTTCCAATCTAGTTCTTAGAGGATTTTTCCTTTTGAAACTTCTAAACATACTTTTGAGCAGGAACATACTTAAAAATATAATTATATAGCTTCACTAATATGAAAAATGGCTAGTGAACTAACCTAGTACATCTTATAATGGCCAATGAAATTTTTGTGTTTTCATGTCCTGTTTTTCTTTGAAATTATATATTTCATAAATTAGCTCATTACCTGAAAAAAATTATGAAGAACTGGTGAATTTCAATACAAAAGTATTGCCACTGAATGGACTGTTTGATTTAGCCAAGCAGGTAATGAACAGTATTGTTGTCAAATTCACTAAGGAGTCATCTTAATTAAGACACAGGCTAAGGGGCATTACTCCAGTAGTCTTTTGTATCCTGGTGCCATATATATATTCTTTGGCAAGAATGGATGAAAAGCAGCAATAAACAACTCACGACTGCCCATGGCTCTGTAGGGTTTTTGGCACATTTCCTGGGATTGGGAAGTGAAAATGGACAGCATGTGGAGAAAATTGTCATCTCGGTAGCAAGGTTTAAGTGAAGATACCAAGCCATTAACAGCATGTATGCATATTTAATTTTATTAACTCCTACTGTCAGCCTTCTTGGATCTTTAATTTGGGCAGGAAGTTGGAGACTTTTACTGGAAGGACTTGAGGAGAAGTGAAGGATAAAAAGGAAGTGTATATAATTCTTTCTGGAACTGCTTAAATTCCGTTGTTTGAAAATACTTTCATTTTCTGTCTTTGGTCAAAGAGATATGCTTAAAATTCTTGTTTCTTCACCAGAAATAGTTTTGCTCTGAAACAAGTTTATATTTAGGTATAGGGTATTATATGAACTTCTCATTTAGTAACTCAAGCAACTCCATCTGTTGTTGGAAGAACTCTCAGGAAAGCTTTGAGGGATATGGGTATGACTCTTAAATACATATGCAGTGTTCTTTTTAAAATAATTCATTAGTCATCATAAAGGAATAAATGTTTCTGGCTCAAGATGTTACTTAATTTCCATCTTTTCAATTTTTTAAATTTTCTCGTCTCAGTCATTGTGACAGATGGAACTGTCTTAGAGTTTAGACTAGAGATCCAGATCAACTACCATGTTAATATGATATTTAAAATTAATTTGAGATTCTCAGGTACCTATAAATATCATCATGGAGATATGTGCATGAATCATCATTGTGGGCATCTTCTTACATGGTTCATAATTGAAAGTATACCACCAAGACCAGATGGCAATATAGTTTTGAAAAGAAAGAATTTAAAAATTAGGAAGGAAATCACATGACAAGTATGCCTTTCCTGGTGCCAGGAAAGGGAGAATATTCTGCATAAATAAACTGCATCGATGACAAGTACAGGTTCTACAAATTCACTGCTCTCCCTTTAGCCTTCTTCTCATTACTAATGGATCTAAGTTCACTTTTATAAATGTTAGAGGTTAAAAAACTACCATACTCCTATTAAATGGTAGGGATATTTAGTATTTAGCTTTATCTTAGGACAGCTTTAACCATTGACAAAATCACATGACATTGAACTGTATTTCATAACATTATGGTAGAGCCATTGTCTTAACTAATTTTGAGAACAGATATAGGCCTGTAATAATAAAGGAACTTCAGCTGACACATTGAAAGAAGAGGAAGAAGTCGCCTATCCTAATATAACTGATGTTCTTTCAGTAATGTCATTTTAAGATTGTTTTGTTTTAAAAGAGGAGATAATTTGTTCTGATAAATTTTTGTTTCCTTAACATTCAAACTTTTCATTAAAATTGGCTATTTTAGTAAAAATAAACAATGAACCACAGAATATTTGCATGTGGTGTTTGCTTTAATTACTTACTGGAAATTACGGGTGGAAAGAGAGTGATGCTAGATATCTTTCACGCTTGCAGCAACTCTGGAACATGAAGGTTTCTATTAAATACATGTGCCATGTGGAAGGGAGTCCCAAAAGGACCAGGAGTTTGGGGGTCTGGTTGTTTAGAAAGTCAGGGTTTAAGAGGAAGAAAGTACATTTGTATTTAGTACTGCCTAAGTATTAGCATAGACTCAAGTGATGCCTGGGGTGTAGTCATGGCTGCTATGCATCCCGTTTAATTCTGGAGGCTCCCAATTTCAAATCTTCTATCCCATTTGACTCATCAGAAAATGTGTCTTAATTACTGACTGAGAAAATATGGTCACACTATAGTGTGTGAATAATCATTTTGAAAGTACTTTTTTGGGCGCCTGGGTGGCTCAGTTGTTCAGCGTCTGCCTTCAGCTCAGGTCATGGTCCCAGGGTCCTGGGATCGAGCCCTGCATCAGGCTCCCTGCTCTGTGGGAAGCCTGCTTCTCCCTCTCCCACTCCCCCTGCTTTGTTCCCTCTCTTGCTGTGTCTCTCTCTGTCAAATAAATAAAATCTTTTTAAAAAAGTACTTTTTTTGGCTATTTTTCCTCAAATGCCTAAACTCTTTTTCATTGAATGTTACTACATTCCTAAAGAAGAAATGACAAAATTGATAAATAATTGTGTTTTTGCTCATTTTTTCCTCCGATTACATATGAATAAGAGCTAAGTGGAAATCACAACGGTATTTTGTTCATACATAGGTATTTTTTCCCAAAGACACTGGTAAAATTCAGGAAAGACTAACAGATGGCTTTAGGGTGATCAAGAAAAACTGGGGGTGTTTTGAGTATGAATTTATAGATGGGTGATGTGCTTATCTTCATTTATCTGAGTTAACAGATCAAGCAAAGATTTAAAAGTTATGGTCAATGTATGACAGTTTTTGTCATTTTTTTCTAAAGTGTACAGCTGTGCCCAAGTAATTCATAAGATTCCCAACAAGAAAGGTCTCCAAAAAAAGCTCAGTACCATTTTAGAATTTGATTCTGATAACGCTGTTTTAAATAATTGTACTATAGTTGCTGAAAAGATGGTCTCATGGCAAATTGGTTGTGTTTGCATCCTAGCTTTCTCATTTGCTGGCTGGATGACTGTCGTCATTTAATCTGTCCATGTCTCTGTTTCCTCATCTGTAAAATAGGGAAAATAATGGCACCTACATCATTAGGTTATTGGTAAGAATTATGAAAGATTTAACAATTACTTCAATATGATAAGGACTCAGTAAATATTTTTATTAAAATATACAATATAAAATTTTTATTCACTGGGGCACCTGGGTAGCTAAGTTGGCTAAGCGTCTGCCTTCGGCTCAGGTCATGATCCCAGTGTCCTGATATAAAGCCCCACATCAGGCTCTCTGCTCAGCAGGGAGCCTGCTTCTCCCTCTCCCTCTGCCTGCCCCCCGCCCCCGTCAAATAAATAAATAAATAAATAAAATCTTTTATAAAAAAATTTTATTCACTGTTTTATGTCATGTAAATTTTATGTTGTTATGAGTTCACACTTGTTTTAAAAATAACAGACAAGTCCAAGAAAACAACATGGTAAACTTGTCAGTATTCAGGTAGTTCTTTGGAGGTCTTTTGCAGACAGGCACATTTGGGTGGCAAGATCTAAATTTCAAATGGGCTTTTTCTCATTTCATGTGGGTTATGCTGGGAAACCCAGTCTATTTTCCTGATTCTGCACTCTGTTACAGACTAGCTGTATGATTCTGGCCATAGCCCTTCTATACTTCCGCATCCTTTGGTAAATGTACAGATATTGGCTTACATGAGCTCTAAAATGTATGTGATCTATATGACATATTGAAGTGTTTCTGTTATTTGCCCGCAACCAACGATTTCATAGTTAAAACATTGAGAACCTAGAGAAATTTAGGGAAAGAGAATATAGATGTTACAAATTGAAACCTCATTGAACCACAGAGGATAGGGGACCATTCTGGCTATTTCTACAGTCTTTCAGTAGGTTAAAAAACAAGATAGAAACACGTTTCGGTAATTGTAGACTCCTGCCTGACTTTGAAGAACTTACAACATAGAAACATAACACTAACAAGGACCTTGGTAGACCACTAATTATACCCTGCAGGTGAGATTTTATGGAGTATTCTCAATCAGCAATCTCTGAGAGGGATATTTCAAGCCAGAAGGGAAAAAATATAGTAAGTGAAAAACAAGAATAGTAAGAGAGAAGGTAATATAACTGGAAGGGAAGTGTGTAGTAGCAGCCTCTATGGGGAGAAGTATAGAAAGGTAGCTCCTAGAAAGATAGTGATAGAGCACTATGATTTTGAATAGGAAAAGGAGATGCAGAGTATCAACACTGAAGTTTGCACTGTTAATTCTATAAAAGGAGAATTTGGTCAGACTGTCTTCATAAAAACCAAAAACAGAAAGTATGTTTTAAATAGCTTTTTATCTCCTCCCCCAGATCTTTCTTATTTTTCTCCTCATTTCCTTCTCTTTCTAGCTTCCTACATATTTAATGGTAGTGAGAAGAATCGAAAGAAAGCTTTTACCAGCACTAGTCAGAGAAATATCCCAGTCCCTCCACACCCCCACCTGCAATCTTTAGTGATTAAAAACAAAAGAAAGAAAGAAAATGGAAGGCTAAAATAATTTCTAATCTAATGTATCTAGACATTTAAAATGCATGTCAAATTCCAAAGGTCCTGTCTATCTAAACAATGTCTCTGTTTCATTATAATTTAAATTTGGCATAAATAACCATTAGCTATCTGCCTGAGGACCACCTAAGATATTGGAAAGACATATTAGTAGAGTAATAATGAAATAAGCTGCATGTAACAGTCTATTTGCTTACATTTTTCCTGGCTTCAATTCCTTACTTACAGATTTCTTGAGAGTATACAACAGTAGGAGCTTAAAGAGAGGGAGAGAGGAGGCAGAAAAAATAGAAAAAGAGGGAAAGAGGAGGCAGAGAAAAAAGGAGAAAGAGAGGAGGCAAAGAGAGAGAGA